GATCTCCCCAAAACCCCAAAACCCCAAAACCCCTTGACTCAATGTAGATATTAGCATAAATTTATGAAATATATTAAGGATAATTTGATTTGAATAAATACTATATCATTCCCATTGATAAGCATTACATATAACTCTAATAGTGATGTCAAATAATATTGCAATTACTCTCGCAACATGCTTTCTTATCAATGTTATCATTCATTTTCTTATTAAGGCCCCCACTATTCCTATTTGCTTTCAAAATAGAAGCTGTGGCAAAATGATCAAGATGCTAATTTGACCTCGAACTGTTAGTTCTTGCATCAGTATGAAGCATTCTATCCGCATGCCTAGATTACTACTGGGAAGTTTTTCTTTCCGTTCTGTTCTTAATGATCAAAGGTATATTTGGATCCTCTCTGATATCATCTTTTACATTAGTATTCAAATAGTTAGATTGATAGGTACCCATAATTGGTCCCTTTTACGATTCTTCAAATAGCTATGCTCTAATTTAGTTAAACTTTGCACTTAGGTATTTAAGTTCTTTAGCCAATCTATCCATACACTCGTTCTTTTTGTCAATTTGCTTCTCACTATAATCATAGACTCAATAATGAATGAACTTACACTGACTTTAGGTTTTCCTCTTTTTATTTCTTTTTGGACTTCATATCTTGATTCTTATTTATAAGATCTTAGATTTATGTCTCCGTCTTTTTTATTTGTCCCTATCCAGATTTCACAAGATCCTCCATTCTTTCAATGTCCAAATTCTATTACTCTTAGATGTTATTATTCTATGCTTCTGCCCTCATTATTTACTACCTTTTGTCTTAGCATTCTCTTTTGATTTATTCCAAAGACGACTAATTACCTTCTAGCTACTTGTTTAAGTTCTCGATTGTCTGTTCTTTATCAGCGATTTTGCTCATTTCCCTTAAGTGCAAAATTTTCAGCTAAAACTTCCTCTCACAAACTTTACAGATTTTCCCCTTTTTCAATTTACTTGCTTTATCCATTACCGGCTGACCAGGGAACTTCCTTTTCTTTTAGGTGCATTCAGTGCAAGACTTGTATCCACAGAATTCGCAAGTAACATCATCTCCCCCTTTCTTAGAGCAAGAGTAGCATGCCTTGGCTACTGGATTCTCATGATTTATAGGAGTTTAAATGCAAAGCTAAAATATGGGATCATTGTCATCGTAATCATGGTACTGACCATCTAAATAATAAGTTTATACATGTATACCAACGATTAAACAAAAGTAATAATCATTATATTACAAAATAATCAGCATAATAAATACGATGACTTACAAACTAAAAATGTTTTAAGCTGTTACTTGAGTGTTTTAATCTCTGAAATATGAGACTTGTATTAATATGAGATTGATCCATCAATAATCTTTCTTCCTCTCTCAGAAAAATCATTTTAAAATCCATTTGAATCTTGAATGCTTGTCATCGATTAGCGATAATCCAACATTATTATAAAAGCGTATTATTATAATTATTATCATTATATGCCACGACAATCCTAATTATGATTTATGATATGCTTGGCTGGGGTTTTGGGGTTTTGGGGTTTTGGGG